TTTGTTAGTGTCGTATATTTTCAGCATAATTTTTCAAAATATTAATCTGAGAATTAAAATATAAATGTTGGGGTTTTCAGAAACTCCATGTCTTAGTGATGCTCTAACGCAGCTTGCGTACATGGCATCATTTTGATTTTAAATTATTCTTAAACGATGAACGTGTTGTATTAACAGCTCGGTTAGTACACTGTAGTTTGTTTCTGTCATGTTACTGACCCGCAAAAAGAAGGCAGAGACGAGTTTCATAAAGAAATGTTTATTATTTGGATACAAACATGAAAACACTCAAGAAACAACGTTATGTACAAAAGTTTCAAACTGTCGTTAGAATTAGACTATATTGTTAGTTTTGTCTACTTTAGAGTGTTGTACAATTTTCAAAAAAGAAAGATTATACAATATTTTAAAATAAAACACACGAGAGCTTTATGTTTGTTTTTCCAGTTATAATGTGTTACTGGTATTTGTGTTTTGATTTAAAATAATTTTCTGAAAGTAGATCTTACAGACTTTCTCATAGTGACATGAAAAGGTCACCACACAGTAAAAGTGTTGGTTAGTGTTTTAATACTACACATTTCACAAACATCAGTATCCTAGCTAGATCAACATAAAGAACACGTTTTAATTCAAGCCAAAACGAACATGCAAGCTTTTGAAGCTTACAAACTAGGAAGCACGCGAGCTAGCGCATTTGACCAATCCTATCTACTCCTCCTCCACGGATCAAGTATGCTTGCGCAGTAAGCATATCACTACGAAAAAACACTAATTCCAAAACAGTATTTCACCAATACTTAGTAAGCACACAAGTGTATATGCCATTCTGTCCCTATGAATTTTATGTTGTACATTCACTTTCCTTTCATCTTTCATTGAAATTAATCCGTTGCAAGTTTCGCTTCATCCTTAGTGGTGTATGTATAACGACCACCATAGAGTGAAGACAAAACAGAAGCTTTCTTTTTCTGTATATCAGACTAAATCGATATCATAATCCCTAAAACGTTGAAACATTGGAGTAATTGTTCTGTTTAACAATTCTAATTTTGAGTGAAAACATCACTGTTTTGTTTAATACCCTGACATGTGAATAATATATTCTGGAAGACCTTAAATACATCATTTAGAACTAATTCTTTTCTGATACCTGAGACAATAAATATTAAAACAAGAGTTTTATCTGGAGAAGAAATTCTGGAACTTAGTTGTAACAAACTGAAGAAGGTAGCAGAATGGAGAGCACCTTGTGCCAAGTTGCAGAGGAGATAGAGCACAAACTATACACATAAAAATGACAGAATATAAAAATTATGTCACCTTGTCAGACTGAGAACAGATTGAGCCAAGTAGCAGAATAATCGTCAGTCTAAAAAGAACAGAAGGATAGACTAATACAGTGGACTGGAAAAAAGCATGAGTGAGGTAGCAGGATACATTATTGAATAGAATAGGAGAGAAAAATACATGTTAATCCATACGAAGGAAAGAAGAATGAGATGAGCCAGGTAGCAGGATACATTTCAGGCTAATCAGAACAGAAAGATATGGCAATACAGATTAAGCTACGTATGGTTTTGGAGAACAGGATGAGCCAGGTAGCAGGATACATTTCAGGCTAATCAGAACAGAAAGATATAGCAATACAGATTAAGCTACGTATGGTTTGGGAGAACAGGATGAGCCAGGTAGCAGGATACAAATTCAGGCTAATTAGAACAGAAGAATATAGCAATACAGATTAAGCTACGTATGGTTTGGGAGAACAGGATGAGCCAGGTAGCAGGATATGGTGCAGACTACAAGCAGAAAAGAAAGATATGGCAACAAAGATTAAACCAAACTGTGGGTTGGAGAACAGGCTGAGCTAGGGAGCAGGAATGACATTCGTTGGCCCGCCATCGTGATACCTAGCGCGAGGAAGGGCAGCTGACTGTGTCGAGAACAAAAACTGAACACCTGCCCAAAAAACTAACATGAATCAAAACCTATTTTGATGCCATTATGATATGTGGGTCACTGGGGTCGATCTTATTGTAAACCCTGGCACCCAAACTAGTAGATACAATTTTATAGTGAGGAAGTATCGCTTCATTTCACCAGAATTTTTGAGTTACCTTAATTGCATTGACCAGTCGGTATGAAGTTGTATAATGATGTCATTCTCGGCCAATCACAGCATCAGAAATGTCACGCTTGTTCGTGAAGTTACAATTTATTGAAATGCATTGGTTGTACATTGTTAAAATTCCGACTTGAGAGATCATATTGTTATCTCAATATAAAAAACACTCCTAAGTAATTATTCAATGCATTGGTTTATTCTTGTTTCAAAATATAAGTACCATAGAAACAGTGCTAACTATTATCTTCCTTTTTGGGACCTTATATTTCTCTTATTTAATTTATCTTATTCGTTTCGTTTGCAACTTAGTTAATGATATGATCCAGTAAAACGTCTTGCATAACATCAACAAACTAAAGCAGTGGCACCTTCTAGAACACTCGGGTATTCATTGTTGCTCCTCATGAACGATGTCACAGGGTTGTGTGGTGATGCTATAAGTGATATCATTACGTTACATATGTTGCGTAGCTGTGACACAGGGTTGTGTGGTGATGCTATAAGTGATATCACTACGTTACATCTGTTGTGTAGCTGTGACACACGGTTGTGTGGTGATGCTATAAGTGATATCATTACGTTACATCTGTTGTGTAGCTGTGACACAGTGTTGTGTGGTGATGCTATAAGTGATATCATTACGTTACATCTGTTGTGTAGCTGTCACACATGGTTGTGTGGTGATGCTATAAGTGATATCATTACGTCACATTTGTTGTGTAGCTGTGAAACATCGCCATACATACAAACAACAAGTCACTTAATAAATCTCAGAATTTTTTGTTATGAGCTTATGACCTATTTAGATGGAAATTCAGAAGGTTGAATATTATGTATGTTGAATCTAAAACATGGATTACACGACAATGGACCACTATTTAGTTGTCTTTAAAGTAATTCGGTTATAAGTTCACTAATAACGCCAGATTTCCATGGAGTTATCTAGATATATCAGTCTTGCTAATTGAACATGATTCTAGATCTTCACATTCTGCAATAATGAAAACGGATCTATAATCCGTATTGTGTTATGTTATGTCATGGTCAACGTCATTAAGAGACTCCTATCACGTCATGAAATATTTTCAAACAAATGCAACTAAAGCTTGAAAAAACAAAAATCCAAAGAAACTCTTAAAGGAAAGAATGTATATGGTGAACGTTTTGGTTAAAGGAAATAATGTATATCATTAACTTTTTGGTTAAAGGAAATAATGTATATCATTAACTTTTTGGCTAAAGTAAAGAATATATATGGTTAAAGGAAAGAATGTATATCATTAACTTTTTGGCTAAAGTAAAAAATGTATATGGTTAACGTTTTGGTTAAAGGAAAGAATGTATATCATTAACGTTTTGGCTAAAGTAAAGAATATATATGGTTAAAGGAAAGAATGTATATGGTGAACGTTTTGGTTAAAGGAAATAATTTTAGCCAAAACGTTAATGATATACATTCTTTCCTTTAACCAAAACGTTAACCATATACATTCTTTCCTTTAACCAACACGTTAACCATATACATTCTTTCCTTTAACCATATATATTCTTTACTTTAGCCAAAAAGTTAATGATATACATTCTTTCCTTTAACCAAAACGTTAACCATATACATTCTTTCCTTTAACCATATATATTCTTTACTTTAGCCAAAACGTTAATGATATACGGAAAAATGTATATGGTTAACGTTTTGGGCATTTGATGTTCATCAGGCGCTGATATAAGAATGTTTGACCGAAAAATTTTGCCATAGTGGTTTTAACTGTTTCTTTATGTTTTCAGAAAACATTTTCGTCCAAACATATGTATGATCAATGCCATCAAGTTTCACGCTTACACATTATCATAAGCATGAGGCAAACAGTAAATCCTGAGAACACAATACTCTTGCTAGCACTGTTCATTTACCATCGACAATTAACATTTACTTCTAATTCTTATCGCGAAACATATATAAAACAGTCTTACCTGAACCTCTGTCAGAGAAGTTGTTAGGGAATTTAAAAATCAGTAAACAATAGCACAATTTAGTCTACATTCTCTTTAAAACGTTACTAAAACGAGGTCGACAATTTTATTCTTTAACAAAGCTTTAAAGAACTGCAAAAGCAAGACACAAACAGTTTAGTCAACACAACAAACGTTTCCCATATCAAAGAACTAAGCTCGTTTAGTTTCACTGTTGACTTCTAAACCATTGCAACTTTCCTCTGTTTGTAATTTGAATGCATGACAGCTTGTTGTCAAATACAACATTTTCATTATTCTGATTATAACAAAGTTTACGTTTCTGTTAACTCTTCGGGGTTTTGTTTGACTATGTACAGATATAAACCAATATAGAATTAGAGATGGTTAAAAGTCGAAAAAATGCCGATGAAATTTTTTTTAAAAGCATTTCAGTTCTTCCTTCTTAGCAATGAGATTAGTCGTGTACAAATCTATGACCATAATTTAAAACTTTGCTGAGCCAGAGTTATGAGAATTATTACAAATGATTCAGGTGCCGCCATTATTGATTCAACAACATCTCGGTGACTTTACAATAGCATACTACTAAGAAATAACACCACACACACACTTTAGCCACTCTTCTCGTTACCAACAAACAATATGGGAAACGGTTATACATAACAAGCAGGGAACTTCGATCTTGTTCTGAGTAAATAATTATAACTAAATAAACAAACATTTCTGCACATTCTATTCAAACAATTATAGAACAAAGCATATGAAACATAACTTTACAATTTAGACTGCTAGCCGTGCGGTTTAGACGATTTAAATACTTCCATAATTTTTGAAGACACGTGAAATCTTCGAGAAACAAGAAAAACAAATGAAATTAAAAGTTTACAGAAAACGTCAATTAAAGGCTACGAAGAGCAACCATTGCCAGGCAACAAATTAAAGAGAGTCATTCACGGCATTTCCACGGGAACATAACACACTGGAGGCTAGCGAACACATTGACCGTGCCTCAGCAAGGGAAGTCCGCTGCCACTAGCCCACGTTAGTACCACATATCAGGGACGAGGAGGATGGGGCACAAGCCCCGCATGTTCGGGTAGAACCCCACGGCCAGCAGAGGGACATGTGGGCGGACTGAGCTGGTCTGGGTTCGAGGCTAGGCCTCACCCCAACGTGGAGTTTAGGAACTATCGGGCCTGGCATAACTATAGAAAATTGATCTGGCAGCCCATAAGCTGTAATGTTTGCGGCGAAAGTCGACTAAACCGTGCTTTCGCCAGCTTCCAGGTCTCCCCCGTGGTTTGCACTCTCTAGACGGTGCTGTTCCAGATCTTGCTGCTCACTTCCCGAGTCATGGTTGTTGTGACCCTTGCCGTTACTGCTGCTGCTGTCGTTGTGTTCTTTTCCTTTGCCTTTCTTCTTGTCTTCTCGCTGGGGACAGTCAGCAATGAGGTGCTCTACAGCTTTACAGTGATGGCAACGCTTCGGTTGGGGCCCCAGAGAACACTTAGCAGCGAGATGGTTTGCAAACTCTCCACAGTTGTAACACCTACATGGAAAAATAACGGTTACATCAGTTTAGAAAACCCTCATGCTTTCGGTATATTGAATAAAACAGTTTTCTGCCACAAATACCCACGGAAATTAACTTGTGATTATTCAATCATCCACTGTTAACTTGTTTGATGAATATTATAACTACGTCATCAGACAAACGACAGTTATTTCATTTCTCTTAATACTGATTGTTTGTTTGTTTTGCTGAATTTCGCGCAAAGCTACTCGAGAGCAATCTGCATCCCGTAATACTGATAACTCAATTTAACTTATATTTATATTAAAAATCGTACAGGTTTTCTGACAAACATTTGAGTTACAAGAGAGAGATCTAAGTCACATGTTTATTAACGTTACTATCTGTACTGATGAATACCAAGGTTTTATTTGTGTTCAGCATCATTTTGAAAAACTAAAATTGAGAAAACATCAATGTGGTATCAATTATTTGTTTCTGAAAAATATATTCGACAAACAGATTTTCTCTAATCGTGATTCATCAGTTTCTGATCTCACGTGATTTTCAAGTACTTGTGATAGATGTATTAATTAAGCTAAACAATAGTATACAATCTAAGATATGGTACTGTCTAGTAGAGCATTTTTGAAAACTTTAACTTCATTTAAATAAAATAAGTTCTATAAAACAAACACAATCACCTGAAAACAGCGACAGTAATAGAAACGTGTACTGATATATAAACAGCCAAGGGTAAGTTCTATAAAACAAACACAGTCATCTAGAAGTAGCGACAGTAATACACGCGTGTACTGGTATATAAACAGCCAAGGGTAAGTTCTATAAAACAAACACGGTCATCTAGAAGTAGCGACAGTAATACAAACGTATACTGGTATATAAACAGCCAAGGGTAAGTTCTATAAAACAAACACGGTCATCTAGAAGTAGCGACAGTAATACAAACGTATACTGGTATATAAACAGCCAAGGGTAAGTTCTATAAAACAAACACGGTCATCTAGAAGTAGCGACAGTAATATAAACAGCCAAGGGTAAGTTCTACAAAACAAACACAGTCATCTGAAAGTAGCGACAGTAATACAAACTTATACTGGTATATAAACAGCTAAGGGTTACAAGAGAACGCCAGTACTGCAAATTGTTACTGGTACGTAACCAGAAAAGGATCAAAAATTGAATCTTTGAGGAGGGAAGAATGTAGTGCAATTTCATATTAAATTAAAAAAGCAATAACAACAACAACATCTAGCAAACATTATAACAAATCTAAATAACCCATTTAACCTCTACCAGGAAAGTCCCGAAAATTCCTCGTTTATGTTCAGAATCATCGCACCGTTTTCAAAATCCTGGATCCGCCACTGTAACCAGCCAAGAGTTGCGGTGTTGATTAATTTGATATTTAATCAAAATTAGGGTTGTTGATTTGTACTGGGAAAGAAACTGGCTTATAATGGCATAACTTATATAACATAGCACTGGTGAGTAGCGAAGTGAAAGATTCACTTAGCACTAACATAGAAACTGTCATGGCTTATTACAACATGACTTATACAACATATCACCCATGAATAACAAAGTGAAGAATTCAAATGAAAAAGGAACTGGCTTGTAATGGCATGACAGTCAAGACTTATACAACATCACACTGGTGAGTAACGAGATGAAGGATACCACTTAACACTAAGAAACTGGCTTGTAATGGCATGACAGTCAAGACTTATACAACATCACACTGGTGAGTAACGAGATGAAGGATACCACTTAACACTAAGAAACTGGCTTGTAATGGCATGACAGTCAAGACACAACATCACACTGGTGAGTAACGAGATGAAGGATACCACTTAACACTAAGAAACTGGCTTGTAATGGCATGACAGTCAAGACTTATACAACATCACACTGGTGAGTAACGAGATGAAGGATACCACTTAACACTAAGAAACTGGCTTGTAATGGCATGACAGTCAAGACTTATACAACATCACACTGGTGAGTAACGAGATGAAGGATACCACTTAACACTAACAAACTGGCTTGTAATGGCATGACAGTCAAGACACAACATCACACTGGTGAGAAGCAAACTTCTGATGCCTTACGGCAAAGCATGTAACATGTTGAGATCTCGGTAAGAAAAACTTAAGTCTTGTTCAACAGATCAAATATTTATAATAGGACAAAAATGACGTCCACATTTTGGATACAAAGAAATCAACTTATAGTGTCGTACGAAACAAAATATTCCGTCTTCAAAGTTCATTTGTGCATTATAAGAAAATCTTCAGAGCTGGGAAAAAGTTTGCCCACAATGGTTCACACTAGTTTCCTTTTCTTACTTACTGTGTAGGTTGAGAATCAAGATTATGTGTTCTATATTAATAATTATATACACATTTGATAAGGTCAAGGTTAAAATATCAAGGCTACAAGTGTTCTAGACTAATAACTGTAAGCACACTTGATAAGGTCAAGGTTAAAATATCAAGGCTACAAGTGTTCTAGACTAATAACTATAAGCACACTTGATAAGGTCAAGGTTAAAATATCAAGGCTACAAGTGTTCTAGACTAATAACTGTAAGTACACTTGATAATGTCAAGGTTAAAATATCAAGGCTACAAGTGTTCCAGACTACTAACTGTACGTACACTTGATAAGGTAACCAAACCTGCTCAGTGTAATATGCGTCATATGACTTAATAAGTAAGTAAACTGGAGAATCAAATATTTTTGTTTGCTCAAACGAGAGGGCTGTCTGCACTAGCCAGTCCCAGTTTTGAAATGACAGGCTAGATGGAAAAAAGCTGGACAACATCATCCTCCGCCAACTCCAGAGTTTCTTTCGTAAAAGTAAATAGTGAGATTTGACTGTCATTCTTATAACCTACTGACTATTGGACAAAAGTACAACAGGTGTAATAGGCAGGACACCTTGATCGACTATTTACAGCAGGGATAGGTGAGGTTCGCTCTACTTACCTCCAGGCAACAACATTTTTGTTTGATATGTAGACTTATCAACATGTATTTGTACAATAATGTGGTACTTCATTGTATAGTATGATTAGTTCGAAATTACGTATTTACACATAAACGTATCGTATTATCAATTTCTTCAAAAATATAAAATTTTACAGACTCGATAATAACTCATTATTTGGAAACGTAGACTACACAGTTTTTATCAATTTATTTTAAACCTAAGTTATGAACTTATACCAATTTAGTCAAAGTTTATGTTTTAGTTTTTGTAAACATGGGGATTCAAACTTTAAAACCATTAACAAAATTACTCCCAAGATAAAACAAGTTCCTACTTGCGCGGCCCGGCATGGCCAGGTGGTTAGGGCAATCGACTCGCAACCTGTGGTTCACGGGTTCGAATTTCCGTCTCACCAAACATGCTCGCCTTTTCAGCCGTGGGAGGAGTTATAATGTCACGGTCAATCCCACTATTCGTTGGTAAAAGAGTAGCCCAAGAGTTGGCGGGGGGTGGCGATGACTATCTGACATCTCTATAGT